ACCAGAAGCACTTTTCAAGCTTTTTGTTTGGAGTAACAGAAACTGAACTCTTCCGTGAAGTAGGGGTTAAATCATCATCGTCGTCATCATTCTCAAGTTTGAGGGTGCTTTTTCCAGTTGGGGGCTTCACATTACTGACCAATTCCTTTGCCGTCTTTTTTGCAGGAGCTTCTTCAACGTCCACATCATCTTTTACACCTGGTCCATCTGTAGCAAAATATTTGCTTGTTTTTCCTTCTGCCAGATAATTCTTGAACTTCTTCTACCTTAGCAATTTAGCATTCCCCAAAATAGAAAAAAATATATATATAATTCTTCAATTTCTCTATGTTAACCACATTAAAATAGAGATCAGGAAAAAAAGAAGAAAAGTTCGAATTCCAACAGTTGCAGCAACATCTGGCATTCTTTATTTTCATAAAGTGTCCATGTTATCACCCAAATGTTTGCAGTCCTCAAATACAAAGCTAAATAAACCAGGGGAACCAGAAAGCCCGACAATAGAAAATCAAAATATTTAAAAGGAAGGGGACGTAGTCAATATTTCGTTTACAATTAACTCTTTTATCTCATCTACAAATTCTGTTTTCGAGGTAGTCATGTGAAACACACTCCGCAAAACTGACCTAACTCTTTCTAAAAGCAGAAATAGAACGAATTACAAATACATATATGTCAAGTTTCTACATCTACCATAACAAAATATCAACAAACTAGAAATGGATAATTGAACTTTATGAGCAGAACAAAAATCGAGAAATCAGGTCTGCATGAACAAACCATTTTTCCAGGCCTTGGAGCGACAGCAGGACTTTTCTCAGGTGTTGAGGGCTTTGCCTGATTCGATGCACTGCTATTCCCACTGTCTTTTTCGTGTTTCTTCATGAACCATTTTCTTATATCTTGTGACTGCAGTCCAGAAAATATATCAAAAATTAGGAAACACAAACAAACTGACACAAACAAAATGGATTTATTGATAACCAAGACACAATGTCTGTGGCTATGAATCTATTCAAATAATGCAGTTGCATGTGCAATTTGTGATTGACGCTGAAATTAATCTCAAACATACCATCTCTAATTCTTGAAATTGGCTTCACCCTGCGAGTTATTACCTTCAGTAGACCATCTGAAACAAGAAACAACACAAAATTCTTACATAAAAAATACACAAAACGGCACAAAATTGGAGATACAAGAGCATGGGTTGAAGGGAAATCAAATTGATCTTCCACAAAAGGGTTAGGGTTTATGGTTCAGCATCTCGAGAACTACTGAAAAGTTTCCACAATTAAGAAATAAACTGAAAAAACATCAAACACACACCCAGCCCGAATTACAATGTCAACCAATACACAGGCCGAAAAAAATAATTATACACACTGAAAATACATGTCTGTGAGAGAGAAGAGAGATAAATTACTCAATCACTGCATATTATATCAAAATATTTCTTCAATGTTGTCTGCGAACACAAAACCCCGGAACAACACCGTGAAAGTGTGTGTGAGAGAGAGAGAGAGAGAGTATAAGAGAAATAAGGGCTTGTAAAGAAACGCGCGCCACTTCATCAATGGAAATAAGAGGTGGGACCCACTTATTGGCGTGGCCGTAAAATTTAATTTTTGGCAGATTAAAACTTGGGCCTCAAACTTGTGAAGCCCAATGGGCCGGGCTTTAGACGCGGGCTTGGCCCAAACACACATCACTTCCTCTTTGATTTTTGAAACGAATAAAACCGAATATGTTGTAAACGTATTAAGTGGATGTCCGATTGATGAAGGTGATGTGGTTCGATTCCACGTTACGTTCTCGCAATTCCTCCATCGCACTATTGATTCCGCGCGTGGGCACTACATGTGTCACAAAAAGTCGTTAGGGTGTCGGGTCTTGATCTCGGTGAAAATCCTCTAACGCTTAAGTCAGCACAAGATGGCGAAAGAATTCAGAGTTATCAATTGCGTACCGATGATTGTGAAGGTTTCTGGTATTGATATGGAGACCGTGAACGGCTCGAAGATTACGCCAACTCGTGAGACTCTGAGCGGCTCTATGATCGGTATAAATGTCAATTGATAATTTGATATCTCTCGCCAGGTCGTGACACCACGAGCGGCTCAACAATTGATGTTAGATGACTAACACTTCATTTTCAAGATGCCGGCCATTGAGGAGTCGTGTATATGCGCACGATTGGATATCGTGATGTATTGACGATTCATATTAAGTGAATTATATGTGAAGGTGTTACCACAGAGAGACATGCAATAACAAAGTATAACGAGTTCGTGTGTTCGCGGTAGAGAGGTATTTTGGATATTTGGATACTCGATGAATCGGCATAAGGGTGGCTAGGGAGAGAGTCAAGTCCTCGACAGAATAGTGAACAAGTAAAAATTAAAGTCTCTTAAGAACTTTCATTATTTTTTTTTTTTTTTCTAAATGAAAGAACCCGCAGCCAACCATATAGGTGCACTGGGTAAACCTACACTGTCGCATATAGCTTACAAATCATACGAGATATTATAATCTTGAATATGTTCAATGTCATTTGTAATTTTATTTCGTAAAACCAAAATTGTATGAAATCGAATTATGAAAAAAATTGATATATTTGGTTTTTAGTTTTACGAAAAGCGACACATTTGACTCGTAGTTCAATTTTAGGCAACAACCGGATCGAAACGAACCGCTCACACCCCTGATTTTAGCAATAACTAGAATATTATGAGCATTTAATTTTATTAAAACACACACACACACACACACACAAACACAAAAAAAAAAAAAAAAAATCATCATCCTAATTAAATCCAAACTACTCACCAACAATATCAAAGGTTCTCACTCTAAATCTATAACTGATAAACAGCAAGAAAAGGCATCAAAACACTCCCAATCCAAAGCCTCCCATCTTTCTCCTCCACCTCACTCACTGCCTTCACCACTTTCCCACTACTATCCTCCAATATCTTCAGAAGCTCCCCTTCCGCGTTGTATTTCACCACCACTGCGTGTAGTCGCCCTCCGATTTGCATCATATAATGCAGCCTCGCAGAAATCGGAAGCTTCAGCCACACTTGTCTGATTTTAGGGTACAGCCCCAAGAAATGTGAGTACATATACCTTCTGCAGTGAATCGCCACCCAGAAATCCCCATCTTTGTTCGTTCGGACATTGTCCGGGTGTCCAGACAGCACCGCCATAACTTCTGTGGACCC